TTTTTTTTTTGTGGCCATAAGTATGCTATAAGCATGTAACTCTTATTTATATCAATTAGTCTGTGACTGGTTTAGTTAGACATTGTTTTGCTATAAGTCTCAGCTTCCAAGAATCTATCGATGATGTTAAGTGAGGACATATTACTTTTTCCTTGCCCTTTACCTAAGAGGGAGATCTAGCCCTGAATTGCTGAAAACAAGGGAGGAAAAGATTGTAATGATCACTGAATATGAAGGTGGGCTGTAGCACCTTTTCTGAGGCTGGTCTGGAAAGGAGCAGCAGGAGGGGTGTGTAAGGCACACTTGGAGAACATTTTCTTTCCAAAGATGTAGGCACAGGTATACAGATGTGCACATGCACACATGCACACACACACACCACACACAGTGAATAGTGTGTCTATAAGTCAATGGTTACTGATTTTATTTCAAATAGCTGCATATGCTAACATACAGATACATATTGACCCAAGAATGGAGATTCCAGGATGGCCATAGTGTTGCTACCATCACATTACCCAAATGCCACTGTGTCCCAAACACTGGACTAATTTTCTGACTACTCAATTAATCAGCAGCTGGCATGCTATCTTAATGCCATCCAGATTACAGAATGCATAACCTTTACAGGTGCTTCATGCTCTCCTCACCCCCACAACAATCGCTCCAACAATCGAGTTACTACAAAACTATGGTGTGGGCTCAGGCAAAATATTTCTAAAGGAAATGCCCTATCTTGCCTCTGCCAAGGTCAATTTTGTCTAAGGAAGCAATTCTCAAACAGGTTCTCGTACTTCACATTTTCCTTGCCCCCAGAAGGAAGACTGGCTTTTAGCTAATGGAACATCCACTTGGCTCATAGCATTATTGATTTTTACTTTCTCGGAACCATAAATATTGACAACCATCTCAGCGAAATGCTGGCACCACTTCTACCCTCTCTCCCCCTGGCAGGCTGACATCGGGCCATTCTGTATGCAAGTAAGAGTCTAGTCCTCTGGAAATTATGAATGCTGATCCCAGGAGGACGGAATTCTTGATAACACATCAGGGAATCCCAAGGACATTGCTCACAAAGCTTTGTCGAAACCTCACCTGATGCAGACAGAAACTCTTCATTTTATCACATCATGAAAGATTATGTGAAGCTTTCCATAGTGGGACTAGAACACAAAAACTTTAAAACACTCTTGCCAGGGGAAATCACCAGTGAATTTGGATATAATCTATGCTTGCTGTCTAATCAATCTCTTCCTTTCACGGTCCAAACACAGGGTTTCTCCAGGGGTGGATGGTCTATGTTACACACACTGAAATTCATTATCTCATCTGCCTGGTGCTCCTGTTTCCAATAAAGTGTAATTATGGTGTTATTGAGCTCCTCACTTTCTCAAAGCCATGCTATAAACTTTGGGTCTGTGAGAAGTTACTTCCCAGTCAGTCTTCATTAAGTTGAATTGTCTCAGAACAATGTCTATTTAATCAGCAGGGTGTCCACTAATTTTCTTTTGCAGAATTTGTATTGGCGTAACAGACACTGATGTGCCCTGCCTACGACGGCACTATTACAACTCAGTGTTTCCTCAGTGTTTCCAGATGCCCAGTGGATGCTGAATGGGGTTAACTGGCTCCAAAAGATCCTCCGTCTGTCACTCCATCAGTGCCCAGCTGGGAGGGAGATGCCAATCTCTCCTGGGGAGAGCACCCCACACTTCCATTGTAGGAAGTACAGTAGGTCCTCAAATAACAGCCTTCCATTCAATGTCATTCAGTTACAAAGTTGCTGAGAAAGGAAACAGTCCTAGATGTTGAAATGCCATTATTCAAGGACTGACTTTCGTTATACCTCACTTACAGCTGCAGCTTCCAAGAACCTATCAGTGTTGTTAAGTGGTGCTGAGTGGGGTTACTGGTGGTAAGTAGGGAGTTACTGTGCAGGGTGCTTTGCAATGGCCTCTAGTATTCAAGAGACCTAAATTCTGTGAGGCACGGGCTCCTATGTTGTTTACCTTCTCTCAGAAGGCCAAGGTTATGATCAAGAACTCAACAAATACTGTGGGATGATTGGAATAAGGGTGAAGGTCACATCACTTCCCTATACTTCTCATCATGTCTGTTAGTATTCCTGGCCAGAAATGCATATGGTCATAGATCCAAGCAGCTAAGGAAAAGAGAAAGGAATTTGTTTACTGAACAACTACTATGTGCACAGTTGGGCAGGATGAGGAAGGTGTTGTGGGTGAAAATAAAGAGTTGGCAGATTTCCCTGGATAAAGTTGAGTCTCAAAAGAAACTGCATTTGCCTTGCTCCTTCTTACTTATTTCACAAAGCATCATCCCCACAGTTTCATCAATGTTGTGACAAATGGTAAGATACAAGATGATTTCTCTCAGCTGTGGAATACGATGAATTAAATAAAGAAGCAGACAAAATGAACCCTAGAAATCTGATTGGAGAATTGAAGTGGCAAAGAGGAAAGGAGAGTAAGGCAGGGAGGGAGCCCAGTGGACCATGGCAGAGGGTGGACTTCTAGTAAGGACCACAGGAACCTGGGTGGTGAGTGTGGGTAACATACATCTGTAAGAGGTGAGGACCTGCACCTCTGATCATATACCGATTCATAAACCAAGTGGCTTCAGTAAAAATAAATACAATTTAAAATAAAGAATACTCCAAGAACAAAAAAACACACTGTAAAATGGGTGAAATGTTTGCAATAAACCTAAGATAGCAAGATTTCTCAGGGAAGAAGAGCAATCCAATTAGGTATTTTCAGATTACATTTCCCTTTCCTTTCAGACCTGAGCTTCTTTACCTTTGGTCTGGACTACCTTTTATGTCCCCAAATCAGTGAAATCATCTTCAGGAAACAGTTTTCTTGGCTCCTCCTGTCTGGCTGTGTAGTGTTATAAGGAGCATGGAGTGGATTTCCTCTCCGAGGCAGCCAATTTCCTAAGCAATTAAATGCTGTTTATATTCCAAACTCTGTGCTTGGGTGGAAATTGTCAAGCTTGATATTACCTGACTGTTGCCTAAGATGAGTCCCCTGCTAGTTCATTCTACTGTAACTGCGATCTATTAAAATTTCCAATCTGTTCTCTCCTCCAGGGATCACACAATGCTTGGCAAAGGTGCAACTTCTAAAATCTGCAAATTATATTCATCTATATAAATATATACTTTTTGAAATGGCAAGGCTTGCAAACTCCTTTACCAAATTGACATCCCAGTCTGCGATCCTTGAGCAGGAAAGGCGATGCCACTCTCCTCTTCCACACAGACGCCTCTGTACTCACTTCTTACCTACAGCACAATGTAGGTGCCAAACTCGTGAAGTTCCCCATGAAGCCATAGAAATGAAGTGCTAGTCCTTGTCACTTCTAGGTGTGGACACAACAGATTGCAATTTAATCTATGTAGCTTGTAAGCAGAAACAATATTGAAAACACTGTCCCAAAATTAACATTTCTAGTTGAGAATCCTGTTTTTCATTCTGGCCACTCCTATACCTTCTAGTCTGAATAGGAAAGTGAGAGGATGGCTATAGCTGCATTTTATTATGTCTTTTATTTGCATTTCCTTCTGCCTTTTATTCAAAGGAGAGGACGGTGTCGATGCCTGTAAGCCGTGTGTCCTGGACAGTAGCATGTGCACCAAGCATGACTTTGCACTGGCAAGAAGCACGCTATGGCTCCTGTGGAGCATTCCAGCAGCCTGAAATAGGGTAGAAGGGCTAGAAACAGAAAACCCCTTTCTTTTTAGAATGATCCCGCAGGTAGGTGTATCCCTTCCATGCCCTCTGTGAAGATGGGGATCCTATTCTACACATCCCTTCTCCAGGGACCCCGCCGCTCCTGGTATGTTAAAGCAGAGTGGTACAGACTCAACGCTAGGGCTCACTCCACAGGTCCAGGACTCGAGGGTCGCCCCGAGCCTAGCCCCTTCATCACAGAAGACGGCACCCCGCTTTCTGGCTGGTGCTAGTGATGCTTCTGCCCATCTTCCAACGAGTTCTGACAGTGACAGCACGCAGCATTCACGGAGAACACAGTGAGCCCCCTCAACAGGCTGGCTCTGCGCTGGGCAGCACGCCAAAGCCTAGCTGGCCGTAGGTAGGTGTTTGCTCCCAGGTGACCCCATCCCGTGAAATCAGCCCATGAAGTACAAGGGAAGCATCCGGGCTTCGGGTCGGGGCATGGCTAACTCCCAGGAAGGAGAAGCAGGGAGCAGTGGGAGTGGCCTCACCTTTCAGCTTTTCAGCCAGCAGGGTGGCTTCGTGCTCTGAGTAGTGCATGATGGCGGGCGGGGACGGGGGCCGCAGCCGGTCCTCCTCCAGCTTGCGCCGGTGCCGCTCCTCACGGGCGCGCATCCTCTGCTTACATTCCCACTCGTAGAAGTCATCCCTGGCCTGAGCAAAGTCCACGTGGAGGCGGCCCGAATCCTTTTTGTCTGTGCTAGACCCTAATCGCATCCTGTAACCTGGAACCAATGGAAAGTCTGGTCACATCACCAGGTCACAACTGCAAAGGCACAGTTGGGTCTGGGCCCTCTGTGGATCAGCAAGCTCTCTTATTGCTCTGCTGTTACAAAGGGCAGCCTTCTCAGAGGAGGCGGGAAGGCGCATTCCTTCTCCCTAGTAATCTGAAGCACTGCCCAGCTATCCACCTGTGCCCAGAGGGTAGTGCTAGGATGGGGCTCTCCTCCTGCCACCCTCCTCCCTCTGCCTGCCAGGAAGCGCGGAGATAAATATAGGAAGCAGCAGTTTTCCCTCTACCTTGCCATAGTCCTGATTTCATAGTTTTAATTTACACTAACTCTATTGCATAAGAGCTCTTACATTCATTTCTAGAAAGAGGTGGGGTGGGGGACAAATAGAGAGTATCTATGAGACTTAGAGAGATCTACAAAGTAAACTCCGCCACATCTTCCTCCCAGGCTATGACTTTATTCCCCTGGAAAAAGCTGCTGCTCGAGTCTCTCTCGGCAGCTGCGAAAGCCACAATTACCAAGGCAATTTTGCAATGCTGTTTTATTTCCACTTATCCTCTGGGGCACATAGGAGAATATTTTACCTTCAATCAAGAGGCCTCGGCGCTGCCTTCCTTACTGCCCTGCAGCACCTCATCTGGCGCATAGCACCCCACAAATTGTCCATGAAACCTTTGAAGGCCACAGAAGCTCATGTGAGAGCTCAAAGCTAGACCAAAAAAAAAAAAAGGGGGGGGGGCTGGAAATCTTTGGTGTGTGTGTGGGGGGGGGTTCCTATGAGCTACCCAACTTATAAAGATTATGATTGGAGTTCTGATCTGAAAAATCAACACAAACAGAACTGAAGCCTAACTTCAGTGGAAAAGACTGCACTTTGCAGATGCTGTTCACGTTGGGGTACTTGGATTTTAAAAACATAAGTTCAAGTCCTGGTGGGATCATAGCTATCGGCTGTCAGAGGAGGCAGTGGAATGAGCACTTGTGCTTATTCCTGGAGGGACTTTGCAAATGAAACGCCACTGTGAAACCTAGGCTGCACTGTACTCAGGTTCAAGATCTCCTGCTAGATTTCAGTGGATTATCTTATCATTTTGGCTTGAAGCTCTGGAAAATCCCTGTAGAGGCTGGCTTCTCCCTGGTTGGGCACTTCTTGCCTTTAAAAAGTTACACACAGCGAACTCATTCCAGATCTCACTCTCCTCAGCTCTTTTCCATCCCAGGTTTCAACAGTGCTATCCAACAATGGGAAGACCTCATGTTTTCTCAAGATGCAAACATCCAATCACTGAGCAGAATTAATGCTCAAGAAAAGCCTGTCTTGGCTGTGGGCTGTGGAGTCTTAAGTCTACAGGCCAGTGAGGTATATAAATAGCAGTGCAGCAAATGGGAATGTCTAAGACAGGTCAGCTGTCCCGAATGACCAAGCAACTTTCAAGTCTGAGCATTACTTTTCAGATATTTCTGATCCCCAAGAGCACCCTCTCTGTTGCCAGAAATCTCTTATGGCCTTAAAAGACACCTGATAGGTTGAGTGTCTAATAGCTTGGCTTCACAATGTGAACATGGGCCTACAACTAGACAGGCCTTCTGGCTGGGCCGGGCTGCAGCCTCTCACACACAGGAGGGGCAGCCTTTCTTGCTTCCTGACCTGCCAGGTAGCCAGCCTTTCAGCTCCTTTCCAGACTGAGACTACAGCCTCCCCAGGGCTGTGGATGCTGTGCAGGCCTCTGCAGTGGGCTCCTGCTGCTGCCCAGGGGCTGAACGAGGGGCTCTGCTGGGAACAGCACAGCATCGGGGCACCTATAAAGGATTCCTTTCATTGGCCTAATTTGGGGCTGCTGATTTTGGCAACATCTTATGGATTTTCTGATTGGGTCTAAACATTGTATCGTGACAGTGTTCAAAATGTTTTGATCTACTCAAACCCTTTCATTCAATCAAATGGGATAAAATAATAGTTTAACTGGTAGGACTGTGATTAGAATCCATGTTGTCAGGGCAGAATGCTCATGAAACAAGAGTCAGTCTTTCTCATTGGCAGCATATTTATGTTAAAACTAACTATCTGGGCCTCCCTAGTGGTGGAGGGGTGCTATCATCGCTAGGCCTAAGTCTGATCCCCTGCCAGGGAGCTGACCCCCTTGTGCATCAGCCTCTCCTCTGGCCCTCTGCTCCCCTCAGCAGTGTATTTCAGTAGATCTACCAGATCTGTGCCTCACTCTGTCTCTAGAGCTTCCTTTCACCCACCACCCCTGCACTTCTAGCCTATGCCCCAGTTCTTCTCTGCATAAATAAATACATAAACCTAAAACAAAACCACTTACTGAGTGGCTCCTAAGTTGCAGGGGCTTGGCTAAGCACTTAATATCCATCCTTTTGAGTTCTTCCTCATAACAACCCTAGAAGGCAGTCATGTTACTATCTCAGTTTTGTGGAGGAGGGGAAAGGAGGCTCAGAGAAGTTCACTTGCCCAAGGCATGTGAAACTCAGGGCCATGTACTCAGCAGAATCTCCGACTAGCTGACAGGTTGCTATGATGCTGCAGCTCAAGAATACGTGACAAGAAATAAAAAGCTGCTTGGATGTTGTGAAATATTTTTAGTCCATGTCTTGTTTTCTATCTTCATTTTGGAATGCTTTTCTGATTTTTTCCACTCACTTTGTTAGGTTTTATTGGCATAAGGATTTTAAAATTCTCCCTACCACTGTCTAGTTCGGGAAAGTCTCTGTGGTGTTGAAATAACCCCAAGGTTTCTGGGGTTTGCAAGAGAATTTCATGGCAATAGGGGTTGGCAGCAGAAATAAAACAAACCTGGCATTAATGTTTGGGTTTACTTCCTGTTCCTTACTTACCTCCTCCAATTAGCTGGGCCTCAGGCATAGAGAAGTGGGGTGCAGTGTAACAAACTGAAGTAAGCAGATGGAGAGTGGGAGGGGCAGGCAGAGTTGAATCCAAAAATATGGCTTTCTAAAGTCACCAATCAACACCAGACCCCAGAATCTTAGATTTGGACAGCAGATTTTGCTCCAACACTCACAGAGTGGAAGGCAGCATGAGGGTTAATTTCAAACATGACTAAAAAATTCTCGGGTAGAAATGGACATCAAAGGAGAAGGGGTGATGGGCAGGCTGCACTACATCAGTGAGCTGGGCTCACTAAGTTCCAAGCACGGGCAACTGAGCAGTGGTACTGGACCTTCCTCTAGGGCTCACAGACCCCTTTCTGCAAAGATTTGGCCTTGATTTGGTACTCTGGAATCTAGAAAGTGAACCATTTCTGAAAAACTGAAGTGAAGCCCAGAGCGCAGGTACTCGCTGGCCTCAGGCGATGCCATCAAATAGTGGCAGAGGCCCTCACACCTGTAATACTGCTTTCCGTCTAATAAGCATACTTGAGAACATGTATTAGGAATGCAGTAGAATTTCTAAAGACAGGATGGTGGGGAGGTACATTCCCAAACTTTGTGGCAGCTTCTGGAAGCCCAGGAAAAAGGCAGCCTCCCTCCCTTTCCAACCCCAAACTTTAAGGGTCTCCTTGTGGATTAAGGCAAGAGGAAGTAAGCTCATATTAACATCACAAAACATAACAAAACACCTAGAAATCCCCTTATGCAATGCAAAGTACCAGAGAGGTAAATGGCTTTATCAACCATGAACTCCTCTGCAAAGCGAATGTGGCAAAAATTCTTCTTGCTTTTCCGAATCGCTGTGATATCACCACACTGCTCAAAGACTTCTTGAATGATTTCCTCAGTAGCGTTTTCTGGCAATCCTCCGACAAAGACGGTCTTACACCCAGGAGGTCGTTCTCTCGTGGAAGGAGGTGGAAGATCTAATAATCACAATAAAGCAAAGGGTTTTACCTTGTGTTTATTTGAGTTCTTATTTTCAGGTTCACCTGGCAGAAGTAAAACTTCTCCTTTTTATGTCATGACACATATCTCTCCCCACAAAACCTGAATGATCTCAGACTGCCTTGCTTTTCAGTTCTCCTTTCCTTCCCTCAACCTCTCTTTACTGTTTGTGTTCATTTTGCACGTTGGCTATGCTTGTCTGTGAACAAAGATAGAGCAAATGTTAGCATAATTTCACTTCTCCTTCATGATATAGAAAGCCTGAAAGTGGTGGTGGTGGGGGGGTACAAAGCATGATGAAATGACAGTGGATGAAAAGCTGCAGCTTGCTATCTGTTTTCTCTTGTTTCAAGATAATGCAGCGGCCACGGAAGAACAGTGCAGGAACGGAACCTGGAGGCCACTGGACTGCTTACTTGGCTGTGAAACATCAGGCCTGCAACACGCCACCTTTTTTTTATTATTCAACTTTAAATAAGCAAACTATTACAGTGGGGGAAGACTGCATAAAAAGAAAATATACACTGTTACAACATTTTGCCTAGTTTATATGTAGATGACTAAAGCAATCTCCTGAAAAGTCCACTTTAAAAAAGCAACATTGACTAATATGAATTAAAGGAAAAAAAAAAAAAAACAAGCTATATAAGTCCATAAACTTAGTATCTGAGGCTAAATTAAAAAAAAAAAAAATCTGGTCCATTTATTTCATCAAACGTATGTTTCCTTCAAGCAAATGCAATTTGACCCAGAAACTCTGAGATGTAGTCTCCCCCCTACAATTGTTAACTGCCAAATTAATTCAATTTTTCCATCTAGGAAAACACATTTCAGAGTTTTTCTCCCACATTTGTGAAGATGGATGGAAATGCTCAAGTTTCACACTCTGTTCTGCAGAAAATGCTAGACTTCATTGCACACACAAAGATTCTTAACACTGGAAATATAGCTTCAAATCACACATGTCGCCTTCCTGGTGTCGATTCATCTCCTGGACAGAAACACAGACACATCCTCAAGTATTTGTTCTAATCTAGAGACAAAATCTGAAGAACAGCTCTTCATTTTGTTTATGTGGGAGAATGTTGAGTCACATCTGTAAATGAAGGCAGCAATAGCATGTACAAAAGGAAGAGAAAGAAATGTAAAAGAAAAAGATATTTTTCATAAGTGTCACTTACTTGGATTTTGAGGGAAAAGAGTGCAGCTTTTGCAGTGGATGATCTCCTTGACCACAGCCACGTCTGTCGGTGGTGGAGGCGGGACTAGCCCTAGGCCTGGTATCATTGGGTTAATGGGGGTGATCCCAGTCATCATGTTCAGCCCTGGATCGAAGCCTGGTACACAGATTGAATCTGCAAAGTACACAAGATAACATTTTGGTGGAGGAGCTTAAAGCCATTTTTGTTGATTTTGCTATTTTGCTACAAAGACTATTTGACTTTATGTTTTCCATTTTTTCAGGACTTTCTCCTGGCATAAGAAAGAAAGCTATTCCAAAGTGTAAAGAGAAAATAAAAGATGAACTTAAAAGTACACAAAAAAAGGAAATTATAATACTTAAAATATTAACATGGCAGAACAGAACACAGAATATTAAAGTGTAAAACCACACTCCGTGAAGCTACACTATTATGGTGAATGCAATTTTCTGTTTCCTATTATCAATGTGTTGTTTACACTGCCTTATGACCCAATTGTGGGAAGAATATTACTTAACGTTGAAGTGCCCTGTGAATCTCATTGTCAACCTGGCTTAATCAAAAGAATCTTCTTTTCCAAGTGACCTAGATTTAGGGAAGTTCCATTTATATGTGCATACTCTATATCAGGCATTCAGGTCCAACCTAACCTATTTCTCCCAAGGGAAAAAAAAAACAAACAAACAATAAAAAACAAAGTGTGGTTATAATTACTGTGGCTGGAATAGACACATGTAGGCATAAAATTTACTACAGATATATTTGTGACTTTTATTGGCTAGTCATCCTTTTTTTTCCTATACCTTAACCAATAATTGGCTCACACTTCTGAAATGTTTATGTTTTGCATAAGAAAACAATCAAAACAAACAAACAAACAAACAAACAAAAAACCTGGGCCCTCCCTGGTGGTGCAGCAGCAGGGTTAAAGCACAGCACTAAGGAGATAAAGCCACTTCAGCATGAGTTCGATCCCCAGCGCCAGAGGTGATCCACATGGTGTGGCAGACCTCTCCCGACCTGCCCACTGCTCCTCTCAGCAGTGTACTTCTTAGATCTGCCTGTTCTGCTCCCCACTCTGTCTCTGGTGAATCCTCTCACCGCCCCTGCACCTCTGGCCTGTATGCATAAATAAACAAATCTTAAAAGAAAAAAAAAAAACAGCATAAGAAATGGATGGATTGCAAAAGGATGGGCTTGTAATATAAATACTGAATTTTTTGGTATGAAAATGTAAATTCTTATCTTTATGTTCTTATACCATTATTCATTTTTGGACAGCACTTGATTTCTCCCCTCAGGTGTAGGGCCTGCAGTTCTCTATAGCACCAGTGATCCATCACCACAGTCCCTGGTGCTCCCCCAGCCACTGTTCTGACACCTCTCCCTTCCCCTTCCCTGCTGTATGCCTCAAATCTTTGGTCAAGCAAATAAAATAATTTTGAAGGTGAGATATGAAGATTTCATTTGAAAAAGCAAGACCTATGTTAGAACAAGGCCTGTTAAAATATGGTACCAAGTTTACACAAGTAGCTATAAGAAGAGTCCACTCCTGAGAGCTTTTCTATTTGCATAAAAGAAATATAGGTGTCTCCTGCTATCCAAAAGTAGGATTCGATAATCTAGTTAATTCTTAGGTTATTTTGAAGGTATGGAAATACTATTACCATTAATTTCTATGGGAGATTTTTTTTGAGCATTCTCAGCCCCCCTCATATAAACTACTCAAAAAAGGATGTGCTATTTTCAGCTAGTGGGCGGAAACCTGTACTCTTACTTTGCTTGGCAGATGAACAGTGTAGTCATGGTTGACCCTCCACTGGTCTTCAGATGTCACTTGTCTCTGTTTTGCCTCTCCTATCTTCCTCCTCTTCTTCCTCCTACATAATTTCCATTCTTCCTTCCTACCCTGTCCTATGTGAGTCTCAGAAATCGATGCAATAATAGCTAAATTTTTGTTTTCTAAGAAAATCAAAGGGGTAAAGAAGGATCTGTATAAACTTTTCCATTCTGGGAAATCAGGTTTATTATAGCTTCCCCCCCACTACCTTGAATATTTCCACTCTTCTACTGGGTTGAACAGGGTAAGTAGTATGCTCCTAATAGATAGCCCCAAGAGGTACTGTCCCACATATTAGAAAATCCACTTAATTTGAGAGTGTAACAGGCTAACTTAAGAATAATGAGGGGGTCTAAAAAAATACCACATATAAATGCTAGGTAAGTGTTGTCATTAAAAGGAGTCCCCTTGCTTTTCTAGGTACGCCCTCTAAAATTATGTTCACGGTTCCTTCATCTGTTACATGGGATTCCTGACTTGGTAACATCTTGGAGCATGGCTCAGTATGAAGTGCTATACCAAAGACAGAAGTTTGGAGGCTACAGACACGAGACTCAAACTCTGCTCATTCATTTAAAATTCTTGTAACACCTTAGGCCATACCACCAACAACAAGTTCAATCTGTCTGAAATTTGCATAAAGTCTCAAAGAAATTATGTCCATTTTATAGACTAAGAAATGGATGAACTAGGACTTATCCTCATACTCTTCCAAAATTGACGAATAGGTGATGTCTCTTAATACATTTTATGAAGACATTACTGACATCAAAAGCACACAAGCACATGATTAAAAAAGTATATACTAAAGAGCAACATCCCTGGTGAACATAGATACAAAAATCTTCAACAACAAAAAATCAATTCAACAATTGCAAAACAATGAAACTAGAACACTATCTCATACCATTTGCACACAAAATTAACTCAAAATGGATTAAAGACTTGGATGTGAGACCAGAAACCATAATATACAGAGAAGAAAACAAGAAAAACACTTGGCACATTGCTTCAAGTATGTCTTTAGGAACTTGAGTCTAATAGCAAGAGACCAAAGCAAAAAACAAACAGGATTACATCAAACTAAAAAGCTGCACAGCAAAGAAACTATCATTACAACAAAAGTGAGAAATTATTTGCATATCATTCATCTCACTAGGACTAAGATCTAAAATCTATGAAGTATTCATATAACTAACAACCACAATGAAATGGGTACAAAAGTAAAATAGGCACTTCTCCAAAGAAGACACACAGGATGGCCGATGGACACATGAAAACATGCTCATCAACACTTATCATCAGAGAAATTCAAATCAAAACCACAATGAGACGTTTGTAAATGTCAAATGTCAGAAGGTTTTTGAGATTATGGAGAAAGAGGACCCTTCCTGCATCGTGGATGGGAACATAGGTCCAGTACTTATGAAAAACAGCACAGACGTTTCTCAAAATATTAAAAATAGATCTACCATATGAGCCAGCAATGCCACTCTGAACTATCTGTCCAAAGACTATAAAAACACTAATTGGAAGAATGTAAGCGCGCCTGAGTTCTTGTAGCATTATTTATAATAGCCAAGTTTAGAGGTGAACTAAGTCCCCAATGGCAAAAGGGTGAATTAAGAAAATATGATATATGTATGTGCACATAATTTATACTTTTCAACTATTAAAAAAAAAGGTGATGTCTTGCCATTTGTAGCAACAACATGGGACTGTATAGGGTTCTGCTAAGTGAAATGAGGAGGAGAACGATAAATACAAAGTGGTTTTAGGGAATTAGTAAGCAAGTCAAAATGGCAAAGGCATCTTCTGGATTTCTACATAGTGGAGAACTGAACAAAACAAAATACTGACTAAAACTAATGAACATTAAAAAAATACTCTGAGGGGCCATGGCAGACCTCTCCTGACCCACCCACTGCTCTCCTCAGCAGTGTATTTCATTCAATCTGCCTGTTCTGCTCCCCACTCTGTCTCTGGTGAATCCTCTCACCACCCCTGCACCTCTGGCGTGTACCCCAGTTCTGTATAAATCCATAAATAGATAAATAAATAATTTTTAAAAGATGTCATTAAACACCTTCATAAATAAAGTCTAATAAAAATACCTATTTAAAAAAAAATACTCTGAGGGCTCTGAGTTGAAGTGGGAAGTGGGGAGGAAGAAAGGGTCAGAGGATACAGTTGATCATGGGAGAAAAGTTTTTAAATACATAGAAATAAATAAGGCATACAGTATGCAGATGAAAAAAATAAACATATGTTTTTGACCATTTTAAAGTTTCTGCCATTTACCTAATACAAATCACTGCTGAACATTATGGTGTCCTTAAAAAAAAAAAAGCAAAATGGATCCTCACTGGTGGTGCAACAGGATAAGATGTAGCATTGCAAGCTGGCCACAGTCACTTCAGTGCTAGTTTGATCCCCGCCCTGGAGGTGATCCCCAATAAGCAGCAGACCACTCTTGACCCACCCGCTGCTCCCCTCAGCAGTGTACTTCTTCGATCTGCCTGTTATGCTCCCCACTCTGTCTCTGGTGAATCCTCTCACTGCTTCTGCACCTCTGGCCTATACCCTGGTTCAGTATGAGTAAATAAATAAATCTTAAAGAAAAAAAAAGCAAAATGTGTCCTTCTGAGTCAGATGCCAGTTGTAAAGGAGAATACTCTTCAGTCTCCTCATCACTGAAATAATATACTGGCTTCCAAGGTAAATATATTAGAAATAGAAATGTTGGCAATGAGAATATTGGCATGCTTATGTGGTTGATCTCATTCTGTACATAAGATACGTCTGTTTCTTTCCTGGCCCATCCCTCACTACTCACTATTGTTTGCCAGCATGGTGATTTCAGGCTGAAAGAGTTCAGGACTGAAAACCCTGAAATGAGAGGCCTGTGAATTAGACTAACCAGATGTTTCCCACAAACAGGATGAGGATCCCCATGCCTGCATCTTCTTTCAGTTGTAACGGACATCTGCTTTCTTTTTGAAGGACAAGTAAATAATGTACCCTCAGAAAAGGGGGCAAAAGATACTACACTTGAGCAATATTTTCATGCATAGCAAGAATTACTTTGCTTTTTCTGAGATGTCAATGTGAACAGACTATGTGGTTTAATGAAATCTGCAGCAATAGCTTGAAAGGAGCTCAGAAAGAAATGAATAAATTATGCTGGGCCTCAATAGGTCCAAGATTCAGGATTTGAGAGAAGGAAGTAGGGAAGGATTAGACTTTTTAAATTTTTTTTAATTAGAACCCATTACTTTTTAACAATATATGAACAGATGGAAATTGTTTTCCC